GCAGGAATGAAATCAACTTCTGTCAGATGCTGAAGGCCACCAAAGTTGCCAAATTTTTCATGTTTCCTCCACTTTGCTCGCTGGTTCTGGAACCAGATCTGGATACAGGCAAGAAAGAAAAGGCACAGAAATGAACAGGAACTGCTCACATCCAACTACTTTCCCTAATCTCTCAATGAGCATCAGAAAACGTTGACCTCCAGCTCAGCAGAACCAGGGGGTGAACCTACAGGGAAACACTGGACTCAACACAGCACCTTTCACGCTTTACATAGCATGTGGGATCTCTGGACTGTCTTGACAACCTCTTCTCTCTCTCAGCTCACAGAAAAGCTAGGAGCTCCCTATTCAAGGCAAGACAGTGTCACAGGGTGCAGCAGGTCTTCCAGGTCTTTCCTGGGAAAGCAGATCCTTTTGTGGTCAAAGCTTTACAGCAGTCAAGGTACACGGCATTCTGTTTACTCTAGGAGCTCTGATTTGTTACATGACAGGGCTCTTTCACTCTGTTCCCAAGTGAATAGACTGGGAAAAGACCCACCTAGATGTTTTGCTGGGCTGCAATAAAAATGTGTCACCAGTGGAGATGTAGTAACAGTTCTTCCTATATTTAGCTGGTAACATTTTGAAAATCACGTAAGGGACCTAAGCAAAAGACCCAAGGGGATTACTACCTTCTAAATCACTCATCAGCCTATGTTATCTGCCATCTCTTTTGCACTGGGAAACAGACAACTAATTTTCTCAAGGGAGTTTCTTTCATCTGTTGGCTGATTTGAACTGTCTGGCTTCTGGTTGAGGTGCACAAGTATTTATTGTGCAGCCAGAGTAGTGCATCTTGTTGCATTGCTGTGAAAAGTTGAATTCCCCTTTCACTGTGGTTTCTAGCTGACTTAGGAACTTGCTGTTTCAATGTAAGCATTTCTTTCTCAGCAAGTGATTCACATGAACCCAAGGTGTTAGTGATCAAAACCAGATGCTGCTGGATGTAAATATGTATGCATTTTAACCCCAATAATGAGCAGCTCAATTATTTCTACACCTCTTGCTCAGGAAGTAATGGGAATGTCAGGAGCCCTCTGTTATATTGCTGATATGTATATATCAGTTACATAACTGATAGCAGTATCTGAGGTTACTGAAAGGACAGTCCTGTTTATCTGGGTTTGCATGTGTTCGAGAACTGCTTAGTCTGTACGAACTGCTCCATTCCCTTTCTACCATGCAGGAGTTATATGGTGAAACAGCAGCATGAAAACGGCTCCTCTTTAACACCAACAGTGATTGAGGGCAGGGGGCGGACTGAAGCCAAAATTCAACCTCTGAAGTGCTCCTTCCAAAGTCTGTACATGGGATAAAGTCTTCACTTCAGGGATTTGGTTTTTTTTTTAATAAAGGCAAAGCTGTGTTCACAGACCGAACTGTTCTTTTTTTTCCCAACCAGCTCTCCAACACCCTTACCCCTAAAATGATTTCTCAGTGCCCACCCTGAATTTCTTTTACTGGAATTTAAACCTATTCCTCCATGCTCTGCCTACCACAGATATCAAGCTACTGATATAATTAATTCTCTGCACACCACTAACCTTCATTTTTCCAGCGTTCCTGAGCCATGGCACTGAGAGACAGAGCACAGGATTCCCATGCATGTTCACGAAAGTCACACCAGTGCTAAAGCCAGGGACAAGTGCTGCCTTAATCCTGCTTGAGATTTCACAAAAGACTCATCTGCCCTCTCAGTGGTCATCAGGTTGTCCAAGGAAAAAAGGACTAAAACAGAGTGCAGGGGGGAGAGTGGCGTGCCCCTTGTTGTAGGAATGGCCTCCATTTGTTGCTTGGTAAGATTGTCCCTTTGTTGTTTTCTTGCAGACACATGACCAATGATCTGGAGCTTGCAATACTAAAGAATCAGCCTTTTTGTTGTTTTCCAGTCCCCTAAGCTTCTTACCATTTCACAGCACTATTATTAAAGATTTTACTGATTATGTAGTTGAAATTCATGTTCGTGTCAGTAAATGGTTCCAATGAGAGACCACCTTTGAAATGTCCTCATTTGCAATCGGACAGCTGTTGCAGACCGAGCTTTTTGTCTACTAGCACACACCATTGGATCTACTGTTTTCTTAATCCGAGCAGAGTGTAGGACTAAGGCAAGGCCCTTACAGGGACATGCCATCAATGTGATTACCCTTATCAACCAAATACATAGAATCATAGAACCATAGACTGGTTTGGGTTGGAAGGGACCTTTTAAAGATGATCTAGTCCAACCCCCCTGCTGTAGGCAGGGATATCTTTCACTAGATCAGGTTTCTCAAAGCCCCGTCCAATCTAAGTTTGAACAGTTCCAATGATAGGACATCCACAACTTCTCTGGGCAACCTGTTCCAGTGTCTTGCCACTCTCATAGTAAAGAATTTCTTCCTTGTAGCCAATTTAAATCTACCCTTTTTCAGTTTAAAACTATCACCAATAATCTTATCATAAAAAGATGAGTTTGACAACACCTATTTTCCATAAACTAGTGTTGATAAGCATTAAATATATTACCTTTTCTTTAATTCTTCATTAACAGAGACTCATATTGGCTTTATCACTGTTTTGCCAAAAATCAATGTTTGGCTGACAGGACAGTCATTATCTGGTTGTCCTGTTTACCCTTTAAATACTGACACAACTTTAGATTTCTTCAAGGCCCCTGGAATGCCTCTTCTGCCCCAGGACTGATTAAATATCAACACTGATGACCCAAAGTGCTTCTCAAGCAGCTTTTTAAGAACTACTGGAGGTAAGTCACCTAGATGTCTGGAATTAAAAATAGCTGTCTGTAGCAGCTGCTGTTCAACATTGTCCTTATGGAAAGTGTTTCATCATCATCGTGTGTTACTACCACCTTACCTGACATATTTCCAAGATTAGAGCAGAAATTATGACTGAACATCTTTCTCATTTCTGCATTATCCTTGACAGTCCTTTTTTTTTTGCTCACTTCTTTTTTGTTTGTTCTTAATGGACTTTTACTGAGTTTTTGATGATCCTTAATTTTTCTGACCAAAGCTTTGGCCTGTATGCTTCTGCTTTGCTTATTCTGTTTTTATAATTTCTTGTTTCCAATGTTTACTCATCCAACATCCTTCATTCTGTGTTGCATGTAGGCCTGCACATGTGCAGGGATATAATTCCATCTACCCACTTAAACTGTTTCACAGCGATCATACCTTTGTTTCTTGATTGGAGGACACAAGCTTTTTCACAGCTATGAAATGTTTCACTTGGTTACCCAATGGTTGCCCACTTTTTTTTCCCCAGTTAAATTGTCTCTCTGAGGTGCTTGACATACACTGCTTTTAGCTTTGTCAAACTATTATTTCAAAGGAACAAGAGCATATACGAATTCTCTGCACTCTATTTTGTTCATGTGTGACAAATGCAATCAATCAAAATTATAACAACTTGTAACTTGCACCTAAGTTACTGCTAATTTTTAGTTCTGTGGCCAGTTTCCCCTTATCAGCCAAGATGAGGTCAAACACAGAAATTTCTGTGACGTGTGTAACAGTGTCTGAATTGGGAATTTGCCATCTGCAATTCATATACGACGAGCTTTTTACTTCCTTTGTGTATATCTCAGGTTGATGTTTCCCATGATTACTCTTTTTTATTTTCCCCCCTACAGATTATAAATAATTTTTTAAACAGAAGATTGTCCTGTTCTTTCATGTGATTTGCTGTTCTGTTGGGAGCACTGACTAGTAGCCCAGTTTGTGCTTTATACCATTGGAAATGCGTTGTGGGCGCACCGATACCACTAATGGGCACATTATGGCTATGCTGTTCCAATTCTCCCTGCCACCTAACTATGAAGTAATATCATCATGGTTCATCGATAGTCCCAGGCATGTCATAGTCAATAAATTGCTCTGTGCTGAACTTTGATTGTTAGAGTGAGATGTGGGCGTAGAAGTACACTGATGACTCTCACATTATGGCGAGTACAGAAACTGCCTCATGCAAAAATCATCACAACGGTGCCTGGTAAACACCAAATTCCAATACACAGTGGTTTATATATTTTAATGTAGCAGATTTCATATGCAGTAAACACTTGGGGTCAATTTTGAGCTCAGTCAGCAAGACTACATTACAGATTGGGAGAACGGGATTGGTTTCTGTGCACTGAAATTACAGCTAGGGCATTTATAGCCTGTGATATCAAAATACAGAACAGTAAGAAAGCATTTCCATTTGGGCAGCTATTTTCACTTTTTTTGAGACCCTGTAGAACATGGATATGGATGACAGTTTGTACTGGATGGTACATTAGTCTATAAAAGCTTGATAAATGATTAATAAATATTTTCATAAATGGCCGCTCTGTCTCTACGGAGTCCAACAGGTTGCTCGTAACCATCTGTAACTCCTATTTGCTATGCATTTAGTATGCTTAGAGCTCCTGTTAACCCTTTGATTAATCCCATTTGGTTATTCCCAGCTGGGTGACAAATACTTTTTTCCCCTACTTGTAAAAGGAGAACAGTGATACTGGCCTCCTCTATAAGGTAACAGAGAGGTCACGTATTTCATTAGTGTTGTCACCCAGGCATAAACTATTAAGACTGTACCCTGAATAAAGAATTGGTGCAGTGAGCATAGCCTTTTGGAGATGCAATGTACCTGAACTCTGGCTTCTGGGAGGTTTATCTTTGCTGCCAGTTGATTGCGAATATGGACATCTGGGTAGTGAGTCACTCGGAAAATCTTCTCCAGTTCCTGGAGCTGCTCAGCTGTGAACGTTGTCCGGATTCTCCGTTTCCCTTTCCTCTCAACTGTGCAAACAAGGAAAGGTGTATTGCATTTTAATGGAAAAGACCACAGGGCCACAAGAAGATTCAGAGATCCAGCAATTTCTGTAAATTGCTATGCAGCTGGAATAGCACCTCCAACACCTTCTGGAGATCTACTTACCATAGGTGACTGTCTCATGACCCAGCAGTGAATGTGAATGAACTCATTTATCATTCAAGGAGTGAGTCAAAAGTGCCCATTTGAAGTGCTAGTTCCATTGATCCACTGTGTGTCAACAGCTACAAAACCCTATGTATTTTAACTACACTAGTCCTGCTAGGTTTGTCATCAAAGTCCTTTAGTGTTGGACCAACCTTTGACCCCTTTTTGCTCCTGTCTGTCACATGCACACATCTGTTGCTAATTTATAATCCCTCATTAACTATTTGTGAAGAAACCATTAATGTAAATGGATGAAAGAGTAGATACTCCATTTTGTCTTGGTGCATTTTGTCTTGGTTACAGGCATGAGAACACTCATGCCTGTAACAAATCACCATCTTCTTTCAGCTCATAAATTTTGCATCCACTAAAGACTTTTGGCCACACTAAAGACTTCCATCAGCACTCCTACACTGTTTTGAAAATGCCATCCTGCGTGAGGGTATTTTACTTACATCATGAAGTCTGTATGTCACTTAGTGTAAGTTAGAATAAGGTCTAGGTTGCTCTGACATGATGCTGAGGGGCTGATATCTTTCAAGGCAGGGGGGAAGTAAGCAGCAGAAGGGAGCTCTAAGGCGGCTGATCTGCAGCCTCGTCCCAAGGTTGGAATCCTCTCTGATGCACAAATGGCATATCTTCCAGCTGACATTGAATGACCAGCACAGAAAGCCATGGCCCAAGCATTGTGAGTCACGGGTTTTTTTTTCCTGCTGAGCTTGGAAAACTGCAGTCTGATAGGAGCATAAAAATTCTAACATCACTGGTGACTATGATGAGCTTGCTACTCAATGACCTGAAGTAATTGGCAATGATACCATGTTGCTTGAAAAAAATGATCTTTTTGAATAACTGCTTTTGGTCTTCCATGGCCTCATGACATCTACCAATTCATACTACGTAACTAGATGCATACACTTCCTAATGGGAACAGTTAACCAGAGAAGGTTAGCTTAGTCCCTCAAAGAGGCTTTTTACTTTTTTCTCCCCTTTTGTTCAACTATTAGCATAAACTTTTGGGGGCTAAAGCAGTGAAAAAGGTAACTAAACGTCTTGGCCAATATAAATTGGGCTCTGTGCCAATGAAAGTTATATTTTGCAGTCTGTAATCGAAACTTCATTGGGACTCTATTGACACAGAAAATAAGGAATAAAAAATTCTGCCCACTGACTTGGTACGAAGGTGCCTAGGACACAATATCTGGGGACCAGTAAGTGAATATATTCCATTGTGAATAGTTCATATTTTCTAAACTTTTTGGGTAATTTGAAAGGAAACCAGTCATGCAGGCATAAGTGAGGAGTGTCATTTATCATAAACACTGTCAATACTACCATGTCTCAGAAACAGCTTAATAAAGCTGATGTCCAACACAGTTAAATCCATACCACTGGACTTTTTTACCGGCCTATCAAAGTAGTACTCATTAGACTGCAGCGCTGGCTTCCGCCCCAAGGGAAAAATGATATTTACATTGAATCTTGCTGGCACTACTGGGGCAGAGATCTGAAATGAGAAATATTTTTGTGCATTTATGCTGAAGATCACAATGGGCACCATCTCCTAAGAAGCCCTGATTACAAAGTTGCATCTACTTGAACCTTCCCAAAAGAGGGCTGTAAGGGGGATTTATTGCTATATGGACTAAAAGGGAAATATCAGTGCTGAGAATATGAATCTCAGGACACTATGTCCCCTGTAGATATGATAGAGCTATCAGTTCATAATTGTGTCTCTTGTCTGGAAAATTTTCACGTCACACCTCTCTGTGTGGGCTGGCTCCCATATCCTCCTGGGAGATACTGCAGACAGGTAAGATTGAGTACTGAGGTGATATTTTGTCAAGCACGTCATGTTCTGTCATACAGTAATGAATATCTCTGCTGTATTTGTATCTTTACAACACAAGATATTTATATTTCTCTAGAACAGGGCAATTAATGTAGCAGATCCCAACAACAAGTGAAGTTTGCTCTGCCCTTGTCATGGTCTCAGAAATTTGAGTCCTCCCTGAGACGTCCTGTACATCTCCCTGAACACTGAGCTGATGTCCTGCTTCTATCCAGGGTAGAAGACTGGCTCTACAAACCTGGGAGAAGCTGCAGCCTACTTCCAACATTTCCTGAGTGGAGCAAGAGTTCCAAGCTCAAACTGTGACCACATCCCTGTTTCTGTGGTCCCAATTGTACATAAACATCTGGGATGCTGGCAGGGTTCTTGTCCTGCCAGGTTTTGTATACCCAGGCAGCCTATGTACCTTCTAGCAATCAGAAAGCCTTCAGGAGAAAGGGAATAAACCTGTCTACCTCACAGAAGATTTCTGAATTAGCAAAAAAGCAACCCCCCCCCCCCCCCTTTTTTCAATTTTTTTATATAACACAAATA